TTAATGAAGAGAAGGACGAGGGGGGACATGATAGCAGTGTTCCAATATCTCAGGGGCTGCCACAAAGAAGAGGGAGTCAAGCTATTCTCCAAAGCGCCTGAAGGCAGGACAAGAAGCAACGGGTGGAAACTAATCAAGGAGAGAAGCAACCTAGAACTAAGGAGAAACTTCCTGACAGTTAGAACAATTAACCAGTGGATCAACCTGCCTCCAGAAGTGGTGAATGCTCCAACACTGGAAGTTTTAAAGAAGAGACTGGACAGCCATTTATCTGAAATGGTATAGGGTTTCCTGCCTGAGCAGGGGGTTGGACTAGATGACCTCGAAGGTCCCTTCCAACTTTACTAGTATTATTATTATTATTATTATTATTATTATTATTATTATTATTATTATTATTATTATTAATCCAATCAAAGTGTTGTTTAGGATTACCATGAGAACTATAAGCACACTGTCCAAAGCATAAGCCTTTTCCTTATGCTCTCCAACTAAAATAGTAGGCTGCCTTGTGGGGAACAATTTGTAGAAGGTGTACAGGCAGAAAAGCATCCTTCCTCCAGACTTGAAATTTCATATTCATTAGTATTGTTTTAATAGCATACTAATATATATCTCTCTCTCTGTCTCTCTGTCTCTCTCTCCGTCTGTCTGTCTGTCTGTCTGTCTGTCTGTCTGTCTGTCTGTCTCTCTCTCTCTCTCTCTCTCTCTCTCTCTCTGAATTTGTTTCTCCCAAGTGGCATTATATGAAATTTTGTACTGCATTCCATTTAGGAATATGCCTAATACATGTCAACGATTCCTTAAGATTAGTGGACACATCTTACTCAACTTGTCAGAAGGCAGAAAATGTCCATGAGTATGCAAGAAACAAAAGGATTTAAATTTCCCTTCCTAGCAGACAACTCATGTATGGTAGTATCTTCCCTCCACAGGTTTCTTCAAAATGTTGCAACTAAATGGAGCCTTGAATTCTCTCTCTCTCTCTCTCTCTCTCTCTCTCTCTCTCTCTCTCTCTCTCTCTCTCTCTCTCTCTCTCTCTCTCTCTCTCTCTCTCTCCCTCCCTCCCTCCCTCCCTCCCTCCCTCTTTTGAGCTGTGGTATATTTTTTCTACTCACCACTGACATCTTTACCCAGAATACTTCTGGCTTGCTTCACCGTGGCTTTAAGACAAAAAATTGGCCTCTGAAAAACAAAAAGAGAAGATCTTAACATGAGGACCTAGCTAACAGGTGAACAGAATAGGATTTGGAATGTCAAGGTTGATATAATCATTAACATGAGAAAGGCTAATGATGAATAATCATAACATGAATAATTTAGACTAATCTGGAATATAAACAACAAAACATACTTGGAAACCCTTTTGCAACTAAATAAATAGAACAATTCTATAATAACAACCTACAAGTGAATGGAAAATTGGAGTTAGATCTTACCTCTAGCTCTTTGACCCTCTGTAATATAATTTGATGCTCTTCTGGATCAATACTGAAGGCCTGATTTGGATGTTAGAAAAGAAATTTTCAGAGTGAGAATATGATTTCAATATTACCCCAAATAGGAAAGACCCCAAAGTAAAAGCAAACACACAATAGAACATGAGTTTCTTTTAACAAGGAATTAATATTCTGTATCCTGAAGTCATATCTTCCTCATAATTTCAAAAGCCCTTGGTTTCTAATCTATTCAAGCTTTTGGCAAGAAGCCCAAAGACAGGGTGATTGGGCGGGGGGAGAGGAAGACAGGAAGGGAGAAAAACAGAGGCATGGAGCATCCTGCCTACCAACATAGTTACAGTACCATACTACAGAGAGCAGCTATTTGTTTCATTAGCACTTGGAGAGAGAGAAAACACATACACTGAAGAAGAAAGAAAAGAATGTAATCTTAAGTGCAGCCTAAAGCCTTGAAGATGAGTTATAAGATACATGGATTTGGTTCTTTAACCCAACCTTTTGCACATATTCATAGAGCTCATCTGAATCAGTAACATGATTCTGTTCCACTTGGCCCACACGATGGAGAATGGTATAAAGGACCTCTTCGTACAACAGGGTGAGCTGTAATAATAATTAAACAAAAATTAAAAACAGATCAGAATCAAATCAGCATAATTTGGATTAGCAGGGTTGCAAACTATTTTACAGTTTGCAAATATTTTTTTGCAATTTAAAAGCAATACAAATTTAGAAAAAAAAGAAGGAAAGTAAAGAGATAAGTAAACAAGAAAAAAAATTGAAGAGTCCATCTAAAAGCATGAGCATGTGGGAGTACAACAGCAGGCTAAGATGGACTAAAACAATGATGTGTCAAAATCCAGCAGAAATTCAAAATATGCCTAATGGATAAAAATATAAGAGCCGCCCAAAGAAAACTAGACTCCTCAATTTCTCTTCTAAATTGTAACAATAGTCTGTGGCAAGATGGACGAAAACTAGCTGATCAGAGTCCAATACACTTAGATTAGAAAATGAAGGGGGGGGGGGGAGAAGCATGAGAAGTGTGTAACGACAAATCTTTCCTGAATCAAGGTACTACAAGACAACTTTTGGTACCTACTTGATTACTAAATCATTAACTGGATTACTAATATGATAACCTGCCTTCTTTCATTTGTTGGGAAGAATTGTGTTCATCCGTTATGGGTATCTCTAATTAGCTGTGCTGAAAAGAAGGAACGTACTAAAGAGACCTTCGTATTCAAGCTTTTGATTCAATTGATAGAATTGTAGTGTGCATTGTTGCCTTCTGTGCTGATTGTGCCCACCAGGGACATAGGGGAGGACATAAGTTCTCTACGTTCACCTCTCCCAAAGGTTACCATTGAAGTCAACCCCACATGCTTTCTAAATCCCCAGCAACAAGCAGAGAGGAGAAATGCAATATGAGGTCATTAGGCAGAAGGGAGTGGGAGGGTAGTGACTGAGAGGCCAGATCGCCTATATTTAATATGGTACTTGCTAGGCATTCTTTCACTTAAACCTGTCCAATTGTTCCTGGGAGCCTGCTTATTGAACAAATCTGTGACTAATTTTATAATAATGCTGGTTTACTTTATATTGCATTTCACACAGTGGAAACTAGGTGCTTGCGCAGAACATCTAAACTCTAGAAATTTGAATACAGTACAGCCTTTCTTTTCTAAAGGAGCAAATAATTCTAATCAAATGTTTTCATTAGGAGCTCACCCAGTGAAACTGGCAGGACAGTCTGAACTGAAAAGGGTCAGCATGATTTAGTGACCATTCAAAATTATAACGGCACTGAAGAAAAAGGACTTTTGACTGCTTTTCACACTTATAACCGTTGCAGCATCCCCATGGTCACATAATCAAATTTCGGGTATTGAGGACAAGTATTTCCAACAGGCATGTATTTATGACAGTTGCGGTGTCCCATTTGTGTCCCATGTGACCACCATTTGTAACCTTCCCAGCTGACTTCCAACAAGCAAAGTCAGTGGGGGAAGCCAGATTCACTTAAAAAGCGAAGCTCAGTTAACAACTGAGGGAAATTTTGGGCTCAATTTGTCTGTAGGCCAAGGGCTACTTTTGATCTTTTCTCTGATCCAGTAGAATACATCTTATGTTCATTAATGAATGAGATTCTTACCTGTCTCTTAGGTAATTTATGGGAGAGATCCATCTACAGAAAGGAAAAAAAAACAATTTCACTTGATCTGCTGTAAATTCAGTTTTTAACACGCCTATAGTGTAATAGTTGTTTGGTGCAAAAGAAGAAATATCACTTCCCATTACCAACCTGCACATACTCCCTTATCAGCAGCACATCTTGTGGGTGTAAATGAGAAGTCTTTTACATCCAAATTGTACACTGGAATCAATTGCTGGCTTTCAGACACCAGCTTAAGGCATTGTTTATTTACCATACATTTTAAAATATTGGTGGCACTTCTACATGGTTTTTGTGGTTTTATTTGCTGGTTTTATTTATTTGTTACATCTATCATATTATTCATATAGAGGTAGAACAATTTATTTTATATCACCAAGGAACCTGATTTAATGATGAATATTAAAATTATTTTAAATCAATCCCTCAAGTTTTCTTGAATTTAGTTTTATTAATTTTTAACACTGATACACCAAAAATAGCAAAGTTTCACTTTATAAATTTTATATTAAATTATTGAAGCAAATGCATTATGCTTGGTACTGCTTAAGTACTACAAATATCTATCTTAGGGGAACATATTCTATACAACTTTCTCCTCAGGAACACCATGTTATATATACTTTATATATTATATATACCTAATTTAACAGCTGTGAACACATCATAGCTATTTTAGCCATTGCTAACAGATAAACTGCTACTTTCTTTATGCTAATTTAATGTAAATGATATGATTAAATTATTGAATCTTCTGGAATTTCACATCCCATGATGCCAAATGTATGGCTTAGGACTGTTCATAATGAAAAGTAACATAAAATGCTTTGAATACATACATTAAAAATATATACATAACCATCATATTCCATGACCAAATAAACAGCATGATATAATGTTCAGAAGAGGATTCAGAACTAGTAAGCAAAGAAATTTAAATACATAATAGAAAAAGTCGATAACTTTATTTTAAACTCACTTCATTTATTATACCTCTCCATACAGTATCACCTTATATTGCCTTTTGTTTCTTAAATTTCTCTGTTTTTGATGATCAACCATAACTTTCATGGTCTTCCTTTTGACCCACCAATTCTTAATTACATAATAGAAAAGATCACTAACTTTATTTTGAACTAACTCCATTTATTATTTGTTCTTCCTTTGTATGTTTTGCAATTCATTCCTCGTGACAAACCATCTCCTCATATTCCCTTCATCCTTTTGCCTTCAGTCCACTTTCATCCAATGCCCTATTATTCCTAACCATCGTCTTGTACGTCTTAAGTGTTATCAGAATAGTATAGTCCACCTTCCTTTAAAGTTTCAGAGAATAGAGATACAGGTGTGACATTATAGCATGTCTCCCTGTACAAGGTTTCATATGACTTTTTCACCCTTTATTGGGAGTCAGACATGGTGGAATGTCATAATGTAGGAGCTTAAAGGAAAGTAGATTATATAGACTATTCTGATAGTACTTCTAAATATCCCTTCCTGCAACTGCAAAGGACTTGTATTGCTTGTAAAATGAAAGCATATGTATATGATCATTTAAAGTGTAGAACTCTGAGTTTAAATTCTAAGTTTGAGCTCCATTGAGTACTATCTCTCTATCTGTATCTGAAGTCCTGATATGGATGAAGCTGGTCACACCATGCGCTCAGTTCATTTTTCTGTTTCTTCTAACATATACAACTTTCATTTCCATATAAAACAGTGTGCAAAAGCCTACTTTTATACACATTTTTTTTATTTTGAGAAACACTCATTCTCAAAACATACTGTCGCTACTTTCTACCAGCACTTGGTCTGCTGGGATGTTAAAAGTGACCTCATTTTCTGAGGTTGCATCCTGGTCCTTAAGAGTGGGGCTCCGTGTGCAGAACCAAATATGGGGATATCTTGGGCATATTTAGCAGACAGTTAAAACCAGAGGTTATGATTCCAAGACAGATCTAGAGTTAGCTGTATATCAGAATCATGTTAAAATTGGATTGGGTTAACTTGTACCTCATCTGCTGTCAGAGCTACAAGATTTTGACACATAATATGTAAGACAAAAGAATACTTTATTTTTTTATAAATCACCAGACAAGAAATTCTAGAAATAAATATTTATTGCAGAGAGTCTTAAGGCATTCGTCTGCAGGCACTGGGAATTTACAAATATAATCCATTGCATTGCATCCTACAACTTGCAGAGTAAACTTGTTGGGCAAAAAATAAACACACAAAGACTCAGGACAGGAGATACGTTTAGCTACAAGAATTGTCAGCTACAACAAGCAGCTTTAAGAGCTGGTATTTAGTCATGAAGACTAATAAAAAAGAAATCCTGTGAAGCTGTTCTTAAAATTAATAGGACAAAACATGTTTGGTGTGTGCCTCCTATCATAGTTCAAACCTCTCCTATTAATATTGCTATTAGCTGCACATGGGCCCCTCCAAAAATGGGTCCTGCAAATAATACTGGATTTTGTATTTTTTATAGCAGAATAACCCAAGCCCTATTTTAACTAAATTTGTCCTCCCAACCCCTGAAAAAGTAGAAACCTCCCACTCTTATAATAGCATTGTACATGTGATAGTTACGACTGCTCCTCAAAATTACTATTGTCACAGCATTTCCCATGTCACAGTAGCATGAGAGCTTCCCACAATCAGTCAATAGAGAAGCCAACAGGAAGTCAAAGGTGGTGATCACATGTGAGCCTCACTTAATGCCCTGTGGCGATTTGCTTTATAATGGCAACAGGGGACTGCCTGGGATTGCCATTGCTAAGTGAGGTGATCACATGACATTGCACTTTACCCCCCCATCACTTACCAATGGAAATTCTGGTCCCAATTACCTTCATTCTAATTATCACCATTAAGTGAGGATTATCTGTAATACACTGACACCACCAAATTTACAAAACAAGGTGGGGATGAGGTTTAACTGAGTGAGGAGAATTCAAAAAGGTAGAGTACTTCTAGCTTAGCTCTTGGTGACCACATGGATAAAGCTGCATGGTTGTCTTGGTAACAAGTGGCTTGCCTTGGCTTTCTTTTGGGATGCATTAATCTCCCAGTCTAGGCAACAGCCCTGGAATCTCTTAAGACATCTCCCATTCAAGTACTCAACATCTCACTCTGATTTGGTGTTGTTGTTTTTCTGAATCAGTTGATATCAGTTAGATGCTGTCATCTGTGATGAGCAATTTGCCCCTATTCACATTCTTCAGGATTTGCACTCACAAATCAAATCAGACAACTTTCTTCCTCTACAAATCAAGCCAGGATTAATACTGCCATTGAAAGACAACAGGGCTGTGCAATGTCTTCTTACATCTAACCTGTACACTCCATCTATCAAAAATTACCCTAGTTTGTTCCTTTAAACTCCATGCTAAAGTAGGAAGTGGAACCTGCGTCCCATCAGATACAGCTGAACTACATTTTCCAGCATCTCACACTATATGTTCATATTAGTCATGTTTAAGAACCAACTAGGGTGGGGATCTAATTCTAATTCTCTACAATTGCAATCAAGAGATGAAGCTGTCTCTTAATTCTACTTCCAGTTTAAGAGACAGAACTAGAAAAAAATGGTTTCATTATCCCTGTATGCTCCTTACCTTCTCCAAAACTTTTTAATGTTTTCAAGCACGTTTTTTTAACAGTCAATATTATTATAAGGATCTTGAGGCATTCCATGGAATCTACTGAAGTGTTACTTTAAGTGTGATTTTGTTTAGAAAGAGAAGTGCCTTAACACCTCCACAATGAGTCAATATTTATTTTAAGCAGACTTACACAACTGAATTTGTTGCAAGAAAATATGAGCAACCAAGACACTATCAGGAGATTGGGGAAAAAATAGCTTGAAAATGGGAAGGAGATTTTTTTTGATGGAGTAGGCTTTGCCCTACATTATGCAAAAGATAAAAAGTGCAGCAATACATTTGCTACTTCTGTAATTAAGAAAATGAGGGAGGCTGAAAGAAAGATTATGGACTCTTGGTGCCCTACCAGATTATGTTTTGCTTTCTGAATAATAGCTAAAAGCCCAATTTTGAATTAAAGCTAGTCTTCCAATGTCTATCTTTCCCACCTCAGAAATCAGTAGTTTAAAAGAACGATGATCAAATAGGCTGACCATAAAATTGTTTGATGAACACAGAGTTCAGATGTAATACAAAGATAGAATGTGGTTTGATTATAGTTACTATTTAGTGTGAACTGACTACTGTGGCTTGCAAATTATGGCTTACTGCTTAAGAGCCATGCTCTCTAATCCCTTTGTGTTTATATGATACATCACAGTTAAACCATGATTTAGAGCAATGTGCAAACTAAGATGAGAGTAACTAACAAGGCCCTGGGCAAGTTAGTCACTATTTATTTATCAGTCATTGAGGAACCTAGAACCAGAGGAAGTTAGCTATTGAGAGGAATTCCATACTCAGAAAATGTTTAATAATGGTTAATAATATAAATAAAAATGCAATGGAGTGTGAATTTACTTAGCCGATATTTTCAGGACAGGATAGCAGTGTTCCAATATCTAAGGAACTTCCATAAAGAAGAGGGATCAACCTATTCTCCAAAGCACCTGAAGGCAGAATAAGAAGCAACGGATGGAAACTAATCAAGGAGAGAACTAACCTAGAGTTAAGGAGACAGAACAATTAATCAGTGGAATAACTTGCTTCTAGAAGTTGTGGGTGCTCCAACCCTGTAAGTTTTTAAGAAGAGACTGGACAACTATTTGTCTGAATGGTAAAGGGTCTTCTGCTTGAGCAGGGGGGTTAAGCTAAAAGACCTCCAAAGTCACTTCCAGCTCTGTTATTCTTTTCCATGCTTGTCTGGATTGATCACATTTTCAACATTCAGGTTTGCATGTTGTTTCTTTTTGCTAAAAGAAAAAAAATATGTCCCTCTCTAGATAGGAACCAGCAAGGCTACAATCTTTGAGCAGGTCCTCATTCTGTTCTGAGCCTTACTAAATAGCCTTTGGCAAGTCATGAGCATAGCCACCTCCGCAGACTTTTGTATACTATTTCAGAGGTCAAACCAAGAAAGCAGATTAAAAACCATTGTGGCATCTAATGCACTCCAAAAGGTTTCAGCATATTTTCAAATTAAAGCAGAATGTAAAAGAGAAAGAAAGAAAGAAAGAAAGAAAGAAAGAAAGAAAGAAAGAAAGAAAGAAAGAAAGAAAGAAAGAAAGAAAGAAAGAAAAAGGCCGGTCGCAGTTAAGCAGCACCACCACCTACGTTTTCGCTGTCTTCTTGGGGTTTTTCCATCATTGGGGTTTCACTCTCAGGCTCCATGCTGGGCTGGACTGGGGAAGGGGTAAGCTGAGTGGAGGATGCCATCAGAACATGGTCATGTTTTCAGACAGAGACTGACACACAAAGTCAGAAATCTGCCTTTCCTAGCTTGAGGCGCCCCTCAGCTCTCACATGCTTAAGAGGAAACCACACTCTTTTATCACTCTGACCATTGTAGCAACAAACGGAAATTGAAGCAGGGCTCTCTTTCTCAGCTCATACCTTGCAGTTCTCTAAACATGGAGTCCTCTACCCAATGCTGAATATACCCTAAAAAAATTACTTGTCCTCCTCTGAGGGCTTCTCTGCAGTCACAATTCCTTGGAGCTAAATCTGGATGCAAAGTCTCTAGAGCAGGGGTCTTCAAACTTGGCCCTTTTATGACTTGTGGACTTCAACTCCCAGAATTCTTCAGCCAGCGTGCCTGGCTGAGGAATTCTGGGAGTTGAAGTCCACAAGTCATAAAAGGGCCAAGTTTGAAGACCCCTGCTCTAGACCAATGCGTCTCAACCTTGGCAACTTTAAGATGGACTTCAACTCCCAGGATTCCCTAACCACCCATCCTAGCTTGGTAATTCTGGGAGTTGAAGTCTACACACCTTAAAATTACCCAGGTTGAAAAACACTGCTCTAAACAGATTAATATAAATTTGCAACTCACATTGCCCCGAGTAGAAAGGACAATTATGGTTTCTAAGAGAGCACTGCCAGAGTCTAACCAGACCAAGCACCTTTTATACCTGGGTGATGTACTACTGTTATGTTATCTTGAAACTAATTCTCCAGCATATGTAATCCATAGAAAACTTCAGCTTTGAAATAAAGTTCCGGAGCAGAGCAAGTTCCATAAATGGTGGTCTTCTCAAGATCAGTGTGGGAAGAATCCAAAGAAAGAAATATTTTGGGAAATATTAAAAAGGCAGAATATATTTCCCCAAAGGAATAATGGAAAAGATCTTTAAAAAGATAGAAACCAGCCCCCAGAAACCAGCCCCAGCCCCTCTCCCCCAAGCAGAAACTAGGCAGAGGACAGCTTTTAGAAATGCAAATTCAATAATCCTTTCAGAAAGGTTGGAGACTTCCAGCTAGAAATTGAAAAGATTAGGAAGACAAAGACACCTAAAATATGCATACCCCCACCCAAATTCTAAGGACAGGAAACATAATAGGATTAACCCATCAATATCAAAAGGACACAGACTCAGGTCAAAGTACATGACACAGTAAATACAAAACCTCAAACAGGAACAGGAAACAACCTCAAGAGCCTCAGAAGGTATAAAACCCCACTCCCGGCTACATATGGTCAGTTTTCCCAGAGCCATCTTTCTGTCTGGCTCTCCTCTTCAATAAACCTTCTTTCTAAAGCTGTCTCCAGTTTGATTATTCCCAGCTTGGACTGGACCCTGATGAAGATTTTTCTTTTGACATCAAGTTGAAGTAACGGTCATTCTTTTTTTTTTTTGTGGTGGTTTCTTCAGAGGTGGATGGGACTTTTTTAGGCCCTGGCAATTGCAAAACTGACTAGTTATTTTCCAGACAGGCTTGGCATGATGCAACTTGCTTGTGGCATGAAAAGGCTTCGCTGATAAGCACTGAGGTGATACAGACCTACAAGAAGAGAAAGGCTTATTCTGTCCCAAACCAGCACATTCTCTCAGAAATTGAAACAGATGAAGATAGGGTCAAATATGTCTGTCTTTTCTTCACCAAGAAAGAAAAACAACATGTTTTGGCTTAGATCTCAAATCTGATTTTTGTCTTGCTAAAACACGAGGGAAGAGGCTTTGGGTGGTCAAGAGGCAGTTTTAACATGGAGAAAAAGGCTGAATAATAGATGTGGCCTTATCACACATACAAGCTATACTGAATTTGGGAGGAACTGGGGAGGGAATATTTATTTTTCTTAACTGGCACATATTTTAAAGTGACCACCACAATTTTCATGCCTTTCTCCTCTCAAAATGAAAAGAAATGGAGTTGTCAGTTTTTAGCCTCCATAATGAGCAGACCTCTGAGGGCTGCAAAAAGGGAAATAAAGATCTACTCGTACTGTCAGCAGTGCATACTTTCTCCTCCTGTTTTCTAAAATCTTTTAACACTGCTATTCTTTTTCTCAAACAAGATTCACTACTAACCAAACAACTCTAGCTGAGAATGCTGGGACTTGTAATCATCTAGAGCAGTGTTTCTCAACCTTGACAATTTTAAGGCATGTGGACTTCAACTCCCAGAATTCCACAGCCAGTTTTAAGGCATGTGGACTTCAACTCCCAGAATTCCACAGCCAGCAATGCTGGCTGTGGAATTCTGGGAGTTGAAGTCCACATGCCTTAAAATTGTCAAGGTTGAGAAACACTGATCTAGAGGGCACCAGATTGGAAAGGCTGTTGCTATTCCTCTCATTATTTCTTTGGTTTGGGATTTCTTTTTTCTATTTTGTCTTGCTGACTGCTAGAGCTCTTTTTTTCTCCTTAATTCCTACAAGCTCAACAAACAACTAGCAAACCTTGCCAAACCTTGCCATGGTTCCTTAGTGGTGGTTGCCATTAGAATGTAGCCAAAAACAAATGCTGTGAAAGTCTGGGAGAAATAAGAGCGGCATGTAGTTTGGTAATGAGGGCATTAGATTTGGACCCAGAGAATCCAGGTTCAACTTTTTACTCAATTATAAAGCTTACAAGGTGACTCTCTCAGTCCAACCTACATCCAGAGTCATTGCAGAGTATGAAATGAAAGGGAAATCCATGTAAATGGCCTTCAGCTCTCAAGAGAAAACAAATTTATTAAATTTATAGGACATCCACCTCACTACTGAGAGACTCTGGGCCGCAATAATAAATGCAATAATAAAATAAAGAGGACTGAAAAAAAGAGAAGATGTTCATGCAAATCTGGAAAGCCAGCTGACTGGAGGCCTCGGGGCAGATAATTAAAGCTAAATATTTGGTGGGGTGTGCACATTGGCATCATCTATCGTAACATTACAGCAATCAAGCACCTGCAAAAGGCAAGTGAATAAGCATATCCTGCTTGAGGCATCTCAACTCTATGACCATCCTGACTTTGGCAGGTGACCTACCTCCATTTCCTGTGGATTTTACAATATGGCACTTAAGATTCCATATGCACGATGGGATATCAAAGAGCAGAGAGAGAAGAAAATGACAGCCACCCATAGAATTGTAGATTTAACAAGTTATCTGTTAAGAATGAACTCATTCTCTATTAGAAATGTAGGAAATGTGAGACAAGGACTGAGAAGGACCCTGTAACCCAAAAGGGCTCTTCTTTCAAGTTCTAGAGGCTGAGCCAGAACAAACTGAGACTGCCTTGCTCGACATGAGTCAACTATACCAGGGATCCCCAACCCCTGGTCCGTGAACCAGCACTTGGTTTGTCTTTGAAAAAGAAACACATACCGTGTAATTAATATTGTTTCAAATATCCAGTATACACCTCCTTTCCCTTCAAAGACATTTAGGACACACTGTAGCACCAACTTTTCTTTTAAACATTAATGCTTTAATGTTCTTGATCACACTGAGCAAAGGAATTTCTTTGTTTCTCTTTTTATTTCCTCCTTTCTTAGTAATGATCTACACCTCTGTAGCTCTCCCGGGACCTCTACATGAAAATAACAATAAAAATCTATAGGAATGTGTTATTGAGGCAATATGCAATTGGCAAAATTAAAATGGGCCTGTGAAATTTAGATCTTTGTATGATTAAGCAATCTTATATGATCTTTTATTTCTCCTGGGATGAAAGCATATAAAAATCAGTATATTAGAACAAGGGAGTAACCTGTCTCTATTAGGGCCATATGATCTTCAGTTCATCTCTGTAGTGTATGGTGTATATGGTTATGAGGATAATTGACACACCATTCCTGCATCTGGTCACTGGGTTGGTAGTCAAGTCCCCGTCTGTTGGTGTTGAATGACTTAAACAAGATGTCAACGTCCTTACTGGTCCCTAGCCTCCTCCAACCCAACAGTGGAAAGACAGACGACTGGCATGCAGGAATGTTGCAACATAAGCTTTAATGGTTCATACACAAAGTCAGCGCTGGGAGTGTTTTTCTCCCAGCACATTAAATAGCTTCGCCCCTGCAGCTCCCTTCCCCTCACAGCAGGCCAGCATCCGGTGTCTATCCTTAAAGGCAGCCGGATCTCCCTGGCCTGCCTTCCCGTCGCTGCCGGCTGGCGTTGCTCAGCGGAATGCCTGTCCCGGTAAGTCCTCATCCCTGAGCACCCTCAGGGTCTGTGCAACGTTGGTGCTGCCTCTGTGTCATCCGTAGTCAGCCGCAAGGCTCCTCAGCCATCCGGTGGCACCACGAGCTGCTGTGGATGGTCGCCTGCTTGGTGGAGACCGTCCTGGTCCTCCAGCTGATTGGCGACCAGCCAAGCAGATCTCCCGGCTGTTCGGTGGTGCCGCAGCTTTGCAGAGTCCGTCCTGGGCCATCAGCCAATTGGTGGCATCAGGGACGATGCTGTAGGTCTCCCGGCTGCTCAGCGGTGCTGCAGCTGTACGGAGGCAGTCCTGGACCACCAGCTGATTGTCTCTGCCAGCGGAGCTGCCTTCAGCGTTGTGCTGGTTCCCCCCCTAGTCCTGAGTGTCGAGCCCACAGGGCTGGACAGGCGGCTCCCTCTACCAGGGACCAGGGTAGGTGTAGCCATACAGTCACCGGATTGATGACTTGTGTGACCCAGAAGGGACCTAGGTACTTGGGAGTACCCGGAGAGGTTTTTTAGGCCTTCGCTTCCTGTCGGCCTGTGCTTTTGTGCTTTCCTCTGCTTTTACCAAAGCCCTTTTTGCGTTACCCCACACCCCACTGATGTGTGTTATCCACTCTTGGGGCTGGCAGGGCGAGGGGTCCCCTTGGTTGTACTCAAGGATTGGGACAAAATCCAGGCCGTGCACCACCTGAAGGGACCATCATAGACCTCTTCTCCAAGCAAGCTCACTCCATCCCATGTAAGGGGCTACCATCTGCC